GCATGTGTGTGTTTCCAAATACTGCAGAAAACAACTCCAGCCCAGCTGGGGTTTGGTTTCCCCTGTTCTGATTGAAGGCCGACGCCCAGCACGCCCGCATGCTGTGGCAAATGCCACGGGCTGGAGAGGACTGCTGGGACGTGCTCGTTTAAAGTCAGAAGAAATGAGGAAGTTGTGACACCCTAGGCCAGTGCTTTTCAAACGACGGGTCGGGACCCAGCACTGGGGGGTGGGATGCTGGGCACTGGGTCTCGGTGCTGCAGGGAGATCAGGGGAGCAGTGGGGGGGCTAAGGCAGCTCCCTGCCTGTCCTGCACCGCAGACTGCGCTGGGCCCCAGAAGCAGCCGGCAGCAGGCCCAGCTCCTCGGTGGGAGGGGGATGGGACAGTAGAGGACTCCCCGCACTGCCCCTGCCCCAAGCACTAGCCCCGCACACCCGTTGGCTGGGAACCTGCTGCTGCCTGCGGTGCCAGGAGAGGCAGGAAGCTGCTTTAGCCCCACACTGCACCGCTGACCAGGAGCTGCTCGAGGTCAGCCCCTCCTGCCCCAGCCCTGCCCCTCCCCAGATCCCGTCCTGCACCCCGAAACTCCATCCTCAGCCCCGCCCCGGAGCCCACCCTCCAGTCCCATGATGTTGGGTCGCGGCAGCAGCAATTTTCTTCCACTGGGTCACGAGTCAAAAAGTTTGAAGCCCCTCTGGCCTCAGAGACGTTAGTGCTGCTGAGAGGGAAGCAGCCAAGCTTGTCTCCCCAGCCCGGGTTAGCCCTTTGGGGACCTGTCCCCTCCTCCCCCCGCTCCCCTGCTCCACGGACTGGGCTGCAGAGAATGACAGCAGGGCTGCCCCTGGGCGCTAGCTTGGGCTGTTCTACCTGGCGTGGGTGCGAGGAGAGCCGGCCAGCCTTCCCAAGGGATCGTGCCCTCTAGATCTGTGCCTGGGGAGGGGGGCCTCACACAGGGCCCTCCCTGCTCCCACATGGCAGGGGGCTCAGCTGTCTCTATGGCATGGGTTCCCAAACTGGGGGGCCAGAAGAAATTCCAGGGGGGGCACAAGGTGACCCAACCCCTCCCCCGGTCAATCCCCCCTTAAGTTTTGCTGCTATTTTTGTTTTTTGGCCTCAGTCCGTTTCCCCCCCTCCTTTTTTTTTGCTCAACAAGATCTTTTGCTATGTGGGGGGGGGCGTGAGGGTGTCTCAAAAATCAAAAAGGGGGCGTGCTGCCAAAAAGTTTGGGAACCACTGCCCTATGGCAAAGCAAGAGGGATGCACCTTGTCCACTGCTAGCCCCACCCGGGTGAGTCAGAAAGGGGTGTAAGAACCTCAGAACGGCCACCCCGGTCAGACCAAAGGTCCATCTAGCCCAGTGTCCTGTCTGCCGGCAGTGGCCAACGCCAGGTGCCCCAGAGGGACTGAACAGAACAGGGAATCCTCAAGTGATCTCACCTCTATCATCCATTCCCAGCCTCTGACAAAAAGAGTCTAGGGGCACCATCCCTACCCATTCTGGCTAATAGCCACTGTTGGACCTAAGCTCCATGAATCTATTTAGCTCTTTTTCTAACCCTGTTCAAGTCCTGGTCTTCACCACATCCTCTGGCAAGGAGTTCCACAGGTTGACTGTGCACTGTAGCGTCCTGGGCTACATTCTTTTTCCTTCCTAGCCACATGTGGGGGCCCTGTGTGCAGCTCCTGCCACGGGGTGTCCCAGTTCATCTGGCTCCCAATGGAGTGGGGCTGTCACAGAACCAGGGACAGTTCTGCACCCGGGTCCAATGCCGAGGTGGCGTGAACGGGAGTTGGAGGCGGATGTGATGGGCAGGCCTGGGTGTAGGTGCTCACAGCTGGGTGGATGAGGCCAAACCCACTCATCACTGATTGGATCTCTCTGGCCCTGGCCTCCTTACACCGCTCCAGGGCTGCCTGATTGAGAGCTGAGCGCTCCAAAGTGAAGCAGGCAGCATTTCTAATTGGGTTAGCTCCCTCTCTGGCCTGTACTTAGCACCCTGACTGAAGAGGAAGGAGGCCTGTGGGCCATTCCCTTTTCTCCTCTGTGCCCTCCCCGGAAGGAAGCAATGCTCTGTCTGGCCGACCGCTTGCTACTGAGGGACACGCCACATCTATGTCCTCTGAGTCTAGTCTCATGCTGCATTTATCCCCCAGAGAAGACAATTTGTCCAGGTAAAATGTGCTGAGGGGGCCGCCCTGGGAAAAAGCAAAGGCAGGAGGTGGCCAAAGTTCAAGGAAGAGCCAAGGCTGGGGTGGGATGGATGAAAGCCGCACGAGGGGAGCCGAGAGGCTAATGCTATGCTACCTCCTTTTTTCAGGGAACCGGACAGCACCTATTTTGATCTCCCTCCATCCAGCCATTCAGGGGAAAGCGAGGTGTCTAACCAAGCAGAGGTCACCATGGACGTCTTCCAGATGAGGAGTATGAATGAGTCCGTCTTGGTGAGCGCCGTTCAGTTACAAGAAAGACAGTCATTTTAAACAAGAGGTTGTTGGGCGCCAGGGGCTGGGAGTGAGATATGGAGCCTTTTACTTCTGTGGGTTCGGCTACACTGTGTGTGTGGGGGGGAGGCGGATTTCAAAGAAGGTATGCAAATTGCATTTGTATTTGTCCATTTTTTTTCCGGAAGAGGATTTTCCGATATTTGGCCCATCTACATGGAGCCAAATGTTTGGAAAAAACCCTCTTTTGGAAGCCCCGTTATTCCTCGAAAAATGAGGCGTACAGAGGGCTTCCAAAAGAGGGTTTTTTCCAAACATTTGGCTCCATGTAGATGGGCCAAATATCGGAAAATCCTCTTCCGGAAAAAAAATGGAAGAAGATATGCAAATGCGAGCGCAATTTGCATACCTTCTTCGAAACTCCCCCCCACAGTGTAGCCGTACCCTGTGTTACTGGCTCATAAGCCAAACAAAGCCAGTGCTGATCCAAAGCCGCTGTATTAGTGCATGGAATAAGCAGGGTTCCTCCATATTTATTGTACTGCATTATGCAGTAACCTCATACAATGGCCAGGAAAACAGTATTATTTATTATTAGTATTACTTATTACTTAGACTTAATATAATAATATAGTATTTCTATATATATTATATAAACATATAAAATAGAAAATATATATTAGATAAATAATGTAATAATAGCTATAACATAATATATTACTATAATAATAAAGTCATAAGTATTACTTATTAGTAAGTTTCACTGGCATGTCCAGTGAGGAGCCTGTTTGGGACAAGGGGACCGATAGGAGTGCTGAGCCTCTGGGCAAGGTGGGAGGGACTGATTCCTCATTCCCAAAAGGGGCGGGGCCTTGGGTGGAAGGGGTGGGACATGGGGCGGTTGCCTTCTTTGTCCCCTCCCCCACCCGTCGGCAGGCCTGTTCTCAGAACAGCATGTGGGTTCTCCGTCTGGAGTGGAAATCGCCTTAGTACAGCCTCCGTCAGCTTGACCGTGGGATGGCTCTCTCCCATGTCACCTGGCAGAGGTACAGTCGATTGACCCCGGTGGTCACCATTTCATTCTTGCCGGTAGTAACATCCGGCTAAAACACAGAGCACCTCTGGCCCCTTGATGCTGAAAGACTTCCCATCTGTGCACTCAGCAGGAGCAGCCATCCAAGGCCCCATAGCCCCAAGTATCCCCCATGGGAGCACCGTGCTAACATGGAAACCCGAGACAGGCAGGCAGAGGCGTGTTGAAACGAAGGGGGAGAACCGTGCAAGTGCCTCTTAACAACATGAATAACCTATAATTGTTCAAGTAGAAACACGCTGCGCGGGAAAAGTCATTTGTAAGGAAGTCTACAGGCTTAGCTCACTGGCAGCCCACTCCTGCCCCTGCGGAAGCGACCAGGCGCTTTGCCAGAGCTCCTTGCGGGAGCCAGACTGGGCTCTTCATACCTTCGGGAGCTGCCTGGTTAGAGCCAGGACGAGAGCTGCCCCGTCTGTCGGGGAGAAAGGGTTTGAATCCTTTATTGGACGCGACTGATTCTGAATGGGGAGAGAGCAAAAGAAAACAGAAGCTTTCCAGACTGAGGGGGGCTCTACTCCCTGATTTTCTTGCCCTGTTTCTAGCCGGGGCACTTGGCTGGGCATTTTTTCCCTCCTCTCTAAAATTCATGCCCGAGGTGGCATTTCTTGACTCACGTGAGCTCAGCCTAACTCGTGCAAGTAGCCAGTGATGTGAGTAAGATTTTGGTAAGATCAGACCCTGCATTTTGTTATTGAGGAACCTTCCCGGCAATGCCTAGAGGACAGTAAATTCATTCGTGGAGCAGAGGTTTAAAAAGCACCGCCTCTGTTTTCTCAGGAGGCCTCCCTCACAAGGCATCCCTGATCCAAAAGGTGCCATTTTGATTTTGCTCTTTTACGAGATGCCCCAGGAAAAGCCATAACACAAAGCGCAACGCGTATGTCTAGACTACATTGTTTTTTCGAAAAAACTTCACCTGCATCCACACTGCAATCGCATTCTTTGGAAATTAAATCGAAAGAAGGCAGGTGTTTTTTCAGCGCTGGTAAACGTCAAATTACAAGGAAGAATGCCTTTTTCGAAAGAGCTCTTTCAAAAAAAGGTGTGTGTGGACGCAGAACAGGGACGTTTTTCGAAAGAAGAGGCAGTCGAAAAAAGCACAAGGTGCCCGGGTGGCCATTCTGTGAATAGCAATCAGGGCTTTCTTTCGAGAGAGCGTCCGTGCAGTCCGGACACGCTCTCTCAAAAAAGCAGGTTGCTTTTTCGATCGGGTTTCGAGGTGTGAATGCTCTCTTTCGAAAGAAGCTTGCAGCCAGACATACCCAAAGGGAGACTTGGACCAGTGCGTGCCAAAGCGTCTTTAATTATGGGACACAAACAGTTCCAAGAAGCAAACACTTGTATTTGGAACCCCCAGATCTTCACAGCTAGCTCTGTAGGTTGTATTTGCCAATAACACTGTATACTGGATGTGGCTCCTGGCTTGCCTGGATCTGACCCTGAGTTTCAGGACTTCCCCCCGCCAGCATTGGGGAGTCGGTGTTGGGGCTCCAGCCCTGAGACCACCAGACCTCCCACCACTAAGCCTGTTTCCCAGCAGCCCTCTCCCACACACTGAACCCCTCATTGTTGGCCCCCCATCCCAGATCATAGGAGGCCCACAAAATCTACTAGCTTGGCCACCCCTAGGTGTGCAGGGGGGATGTGGGGAGTGTCTTCCTGCTTTCCAGTTGAGGGCTGTATCAGTGAGGTGGTTTTTTTCTTCTCGCCTTTGTACAGCCCCCAACTGATATTTCTGTGGGTCAGTGGCCCCTAACCAAACAAGGTTCCCTGCCCCTGCTTTATAAGAAGCATTAAGGGGCATCATCCCCTTGAATATCACTGTACTCTGCAATATTTGCCCCTTCTCTGCTACAAATCACACAGAGGGTTACTATAGCAGAAAGTAGCAAGGGGGAATGCGGTTCTTTGTGCTTTTTTCTATTTCTTTGTGCACCTCTTAGCACTGTGTGTCCTCAGTTTCCCCATTGCCCCCGAACAGTTAGAGTGAGTTAGGCACACAGTCATGCGATGAGTTATTTGGTCCTGCCATGTGGGCGGGGGACTGGACTCGATGACTTCTTGAGGTCCCTTCCAGTCCTTGTATTCTATGATTCTATGATTCTATGCTAGTGCAGATCCGTGAGCCCATGAAGAGCCACTCCGATGCCAGGTTCTGGTGCACAGTCGTGCGATGAGCTATCCCAGTGCAGATCCCTGAGCCCTTGAAGAGCCACTCAGAAGCCAGGCCCTGGTGCACAGTCGTGCGGTGAGTTATGCTAGTGCAGATCCCTGAGCCCTTGAAGAGCCACTCAGAAGCCAGGCCCTGGTGCACAGTCGTGCGGTGAGTTATGCTAGTGCAGATCCCTGAGCCCTTGAAGAGCCACTCAGAAGCCAGGCCCTGGTGCACAGTCGTGCGGTGAGTTATGCTAGTGCAGATCCCTGAGCCCTTGAAGAGCCACTCAGAAGCCAGGCCCTGGTGCACAGTCGTGCGGTGAGTTATGCTAGTGCAGATCCCTGAGCCCTTGAAGAGCCACTCAGAAGCCAGGCCCTGGTGCACAGTCGTGCGGTGAGTTATGCTAGTGCAGATCCCTGAGCCCTTGAAGAGCCACTCAGAAGCCAGGCCCTGGTGCACAGTCGTGCGGTGAGTTATGCTAGTGCAGATCCCTGAGCCCTTGAAGAGCCACTCAGAAGCCAGGCCCTGGTGCACAGTCGTGCGGTGAGTTATGCTAGTGCAGATCCCTGAGCCCTTGAAGAGCCACTCAGAAGCCAGGCCCTGGTGCACAGTCGTGCGGTGAGTTATGCTAGTGCAGATCCCTGAGCCCTTGAAGAGCCACTCAGAAGCCAGGCCCTGGTGCACAGTCGTGCGATGAGCTATGCCAGTGCAGGTCCCTGAGCAGCCACTCGGAAGCCAGGCCCTGGAATCGACCTATGTGCACCGCAGCATTGGAGCCTAAGTCAGAACCTCCGTGTCTGAAAAGACCCTTCGCATCAGCCGCAGGGGAGCAAGCACTTAGAAAGGAAACGTTGGGGCTCAGCTGTATGTGGACGAAAACATTGTCCTCACTCTGCGTGTGTAAGCAACAAGTAGCCAGAGGCAGTTTTATTACGAGCTGCAGCAAGGGAAAAACGGGTTCGGACGGGGGGGAGCTCCCTCCTCCGAGGCAGATCTTCGAATACAAGCAATTCTGAAGCAGTTTCTATACTGTCCATTAGATATAATAACAACAACAATTAGTCTCCTTCCCATTCCAAACACCAATGGCTAACAGTTATTTAGTTCCACCCAGATGCTCCTTATCTCAAGGTCCCTGCCAGAGTCAGCGTTCTATCCTTATCTCCGTATGGAGGCGAGAGGCAAAGGCAGCTTCTAATTCCAGATCTCGCGTTGTCAGGCCACAGACTTAGCCTGACTCTTGCTCTCTTGTTAACAAGACCAAGATGGCTGCACACAAATTCCCTTCTTCCCTTTTCCTGCCTCCACATGTATGAGGGAGGGGCAATCTTTATGGTTAGCCAGTTGAAAAAAACCCAGGTTGGCTGAATCTCTCCAGTTACTGTATCCTGAGTGCCCCTCCCAAGCGAAGAACCGTGGGTGGAGCTGAGTTCCTCCATGGCTCTTGTACTGCGTGATGCCGTATTCTGGGACCTTCACATCAATAGCTAGAGTAAAGTCAATTCGTTTGTGGAGCAGAGGTTTAAAACCCCCCAACTACTCTGTATTCTCATTAGATCCCTCTGCTAAAGATGTTGGCGTCACTGATCTATAATGAGTAGGGTTGAGGAAACGACTCCCCCCTGATCCTGTGTCTTATAGGAATGGGCCCCAAACCAGCCGGAGGAAATACAGCTCACACCTTCCACATCATCCGGTGGAGCTGACCGCTCAGTGTCAACATTCTTATGCTCCCAACGGTTGCCCAGCTAA